CTCTGGGGAACATCAGATATAACTTTCATGGGTCGTGATCGAGAGCTAAAGTGATTAGCTTTCAGCCTATACCCCCTTTCATTTTTCTTTACAGTCCCTTTAAGATTACAAAAATGTTTCCTTGAAGACAACTTATCTAACAATAAAGTCTTGATTGTTTAAATAAGTAAAACTTAACAATTTTTATTTCACTTGACATATTTAATTTGTTATGATATTAAATCAGTAAATCTAGAATATGCAATTTCTCGTGCGGAATGTTTAAAGCCAGGTATTAATTCATCTGTTTGTAATGAATCTAGGTCCCGAGAATACTTGACTCTTAGTCAAATCTAAGTCTCTCTGACTCTATCTCTAGCCAAAACTCAAGGCTCTATACACGTCCGTCTAAATCAACGATTCGTACTATACTCCTTTATTAATACAGGTAAATATAAACTGACCGGAATGGCCTTTCAGGGTCAACATGCACATAGATAAAATAGATAACTGAACATAGATAATAAAGATCGTACTAATCATGATAACATAATTTATTACATGTTTCCCCTTTGTGTAATATTTTTAATATTTAGGAATCTGGAGGAATATGTTCTTGGGCCCAACCTAAACCAGATTATGAGTCAACCGGGAAATGTGGTGAAACAGGATCCATCGGCCCTTATAACCAAGGAACTATTTGCTACTGTGGATACTGCTGGAAGCCTAAAGTGGTAGATTTGTGCAGGTAAAAACAATTGATTTATCAATTAAAGATATTCTTCCAATTTATTCCTAAAAACTTTCAATAAAGTCCAATTAACATGAGACACAGTAATTGTGCAGTGTTAACAGACCCAATGCACTCATTATGAGATTTAATAAGAGGGTCTGGGTAGACATAATACAGGGAGTCCTAATAAACATGGAAATTGAGATACAACTTGACTGTCGTCTTTGATTTCTGGTATTTAATGCATGGGAAAGAAAGGAAAAAACGAGGCTGTATGTATGATGAGTTTTTCATTAAAGTGGTCTGTCTACCTTTCTTGTAACTTAAAAATTGACAAAGATGATATTAAGACAGTTTTGATTTATTAAAAAAATTGAAATTTGTACAAATTTTGCAATACCTCTGTCAATTTTGAAGATACCAAAATGAAAGACCACATTTAAAAAAATCTCAAGCAATAATTGTGTTCATGAAAAAATGCCGCATGGATCGAAGACGACATAAAAGTCATCACTTGATTCCTATGTTTATTGGGACACACTGAGTTGAGCTGAGAATTAA